AGCTTGCAAAGCTGTGTTGCCCAGTGATTATTGCATGGAGTCAATGTTCTCCAAATATATGTTGTTGTTACTTGTCGTGGAGTTGGTCCCGACTCATAGCAACCATGTCTAGGGTTTCTGAGGAATGGCTAGTGGATTGAACTGTTGACCTTCTGGTTCAAACCAACATTGGAGTTGAGAACTTATACTATAAGTATTTGTACTATTATTTAAATGCTCACCCACAAGGTCAGTTTGAACCAAAAAGTCAGTAGTTCAAAACCACCAGCCATTCCTCAGAAACACTATACAGGGTCACTATGAGTTGGGACCAATTCAACGACAGTAAAAACAACAATATAATGCAGGATAATATGCTGGACTGCAGTGATATATATATACATATATCCTCACAAATATGAATCCATATATATGTGTCTTCATAAGTTCACCAAATAAAAAGTGTATCTCAAAAACTACTAAAATTAAATCAAGTTTGATAATGTAGAAATTATAATTTAACTATAATCCTTAAAGTAATATTTTTAATGTCATTGCAGACCCACCCTGTCAGACAGAGCTCAGCAACATTCAGAAAGGACAAGGAATAAAGAAGCTCCTTGGTGAGTAATAGATCACTCTTCTGAAGGTTTTATTGCTTACATAAATAACCACAGGGAAACAGAAACATAAAATCAATATTAATCCAACAAAGATAGACTGAACTAAATTTTAGCAACACAATTTATGAACTTTTTGAAAGCTATTAACTTACTTCTATTCTTTTAACTATTGAAAGATATTATGTCTGGTTTATTACCCTAATATAATGTTCATTTTGAAAGTTATTAAGTAAGAAAGAGATTTAAACAATGCTAAGGATAAAGCATCAGCAGTAACTTCAATTTTAATTTCATGGTTAACAATTCAAGAATGATGGCCATATATACAAGAGTTAGAACAAAAAATTATAGAGATGAGGCAAAAACACTTCCAGTGAACTTCAAAGTACACTATATACTAAAAACTAGTGCATGGTGGATTAAAGAGCTAAACGTAAACCTAAAACAGTAGAAAGAACATCAAAGAAAAATAAGAGCTGAATTAAGGGCCTTAATACACTGTATATGGAGTCCTGGTGTGGTGCTGTGGGTTAATGCACTCACAGAGTTTCCAAGGAGTGGCTGGTGAACTTGAACCACCAACATTGAAGTTCAAGGTTCAAGTTCACCAGCCACTCCTCGGAAACCCTATATGTCGCTATGAGTCAGAACCAACTCAGTGGCACTTAACAATAACAAAAATACACTGTATAAGTAGTACAAGGTCTGTGGTTCAAACCCACCAGTTGCTCCATGGGAGAAAAATAAGGCTGTTTGCTTACAAATAGATTTACATTGGGTTTCTGTGTGTCAGCTCAATGGAAATGGGTTTTGGTTTTAATATGTGGCAAAAATACACTATCAAATATGACACACACAAAAAAAGCTCAAACAGCAGAAGACAGACTTAATGATTACACCTTCTAAAAATTAAACATGTGTGTACATTAAAATGCAGCACCAAAAGAATAAGAAAAAAGAACTTTACACTGGGAAAAAATGTCAACAATAGTATATCTGACAAGGAACTAATCTCTAAAATTTATAGACAACATCAACACCCCAAAAACAAAAATACAGCCCAATTAAAGAATGGGTTTGCAGTCCTCGTATGGCACTGTGGGATATAATACAGTGGACCCCAAGGTCAGTTTGAACCATAAGGTCAGCAGTTCAAAATCACCAGCTGCTCCTCAGAAATGCTATACAGGGTCGTTATGAGTCAGAACCAACTCGATGGCACTTAACAACAACAACACGAACCATAAACAAATATTCTTCCAAAAAAGACATAAAATGCCTAGCAAACACATGAAGAAATATTTATGATCACCCAAGTCTATTGAGTTGATTCCAATTCATTGCGACCCTATGTAGTATTTGGGTAGAGCACAAAACCTCATCTTTTTCCTGAGGAGCTGTTGGTGGATTTGAACTCACAATCATGCAGTTAGCAGCTCAGCACCACCAGGGATCTTTCTTGTTGCTTTTGGGTGCTGTTGAGTTGTTTCCGACTCATAATGATCCTATTAAGAACAAAATGAAACAATACACAGTCCTGTGCCATCTTTACAATTGTTACAATTGTTGCTGCTATTGTATCAATCCACCTCATTAGGAGTCTTTTCTTTTTTTTTTACTAACACTCATCTGATCTGTACTGAGCATGATGCCCTTCGCCAGGGACTGGTTCCTCCTGACAATATGTCCAAGGGATCAGAGATGAAGTCTCACCATCTTCATTTCTAATGAGCAATCTGGTTTACTTCTTCCAAAAGTATGTTGTTAATTCTTCTGGAAACCCATAGTACTTTTGGTATTCTTCAACACTAAAAGTCAAATAAATGCATTGATTCTTCTATGGTCTTCTTTTTTTCATTCAACTTTCACATGCATATGAAGTGATTGAAAATAACATGGCTTAGGTCAGGCCCACTGTAGTTCTCAAAGTGACAGTCTTGCTCTTTAACACTTTAAAGAAGTCTTTTGCAGCGGATTTGCCTAATGCAATAGATCACCTTATTTCTTTACATCTGATTCCGTGAACACTGATTGTAGATTCAAGCAAAATGAAGTCTTTGACAATTTCAATATTTTGTCCATTTTGTTTCTGTTGACGTGTGTTGTCTCATTGGTTCCAACTCATAGTGACCCTGGATAGGGTTTCCAAGGCTATAAATCTGTAAGGAGCAGAAAGCCTTATCTTTTGCCCATGGAATGGTTAGTGTATTCCAACTACTGACTTTGTGGTGGTGTTGTTGCTAAGTTCCCACAAGTCAATTATGAATCTTAGTGACTCTGTGTAGGGTTTCAAACAGCAGCTAATGGGTTTGAACTGCTGACCTTGTGATTCACAGTCAATGCTGATCTTATAGGACCAGTCCCCTATTCCATCACCACCCATTTTCTCTATTTGCCATGATGTTATTTACTAGTTTGTTGTTGTTGTTATGTGCCGTGGAGTAGGTCCTG